CTTTGTATGTGGGGTGATATTGATAATATCAACAAATGTTAGCTTAAGAACAAATTTTAAAGTTAATTAAAAAGTTTCCATTGCTCAGCAGACACGTACAATTGCACCTCTCTACGACTTTATATAACAATAGCCAATATATTCACACGGTATCAACAATTTTTATGAAGTTTCATGAAACTGTTTTGATTGCTTAACGAAGTCACTCGCACGAAACATTGTTAACACGTGCTATGAGAGGCTTCAATCCAACTACAAGGGGCGATGTACACAGATGTCATACTCCATGTAAAATATTGCTTTTACAATACGAGTATTTGTTCGAAGAATAATGATCATATAAATCATAATACAATGTGTTCACAAATATAGAATATCAAACAAATAATATGTTCTCCCTCCATATTGTTTAACTACCATTTCAGATCTACAAACTATTGGGTGAATTCATTTTCCAATCTCCCTCATATTGTCAGAGTTTTGTTGAAACATTCCATGCACGTGACTTAGGTCATAATTGTTTGATTTACACTTTATGTACTGTGCCTTTATGGTAAATATATTCAGCATCAATGTAATAAATGTGTTCTTCTTGAATTCCACAGATGAATACATCACTGGCTGTCGCAATACTTGTCCTACTCGTTGTATTCCAACAGAGTAAGTTGTCATATTTCATACGTCCTCGTACGTTTTTTTTTCAACAGGGTGTAATCAAAGACTATAGAGAAGACTCTATAGTCTTTGGTGTAATATACTAGTACTTTATTTATTCAATTTTAACTCGAGAGTGTTTATATATATTTATCTTGTTTTGAGTAAATCGGTCAACAATCTGAGGAATTGAGCTGTGATCATGTTTTACACCAGAGTCCCTCTATAGGGGACGTGTTTACACGGAAATCATGTGACAGTCACTGAATTCAAATTTGGTAGGAGATGATGACTCTATTTATTTTCTAACAGAATCTAGTAATGTGAATATATAAATGACACGTGATAGCGTGAAAATAGACCACGTTCACGGGGACACATTTTGGAATGATGTTTTCATACACTAATTGGTTTTCCACCTTAAACATTCATTCACCCAACTCGTAACCCAGTTCAGGAATATGGACAGCTGGTCTTTTAGACGCATTGCTTTACAAATAAAACCCATTAAATTATACCACCTTTTTTCAGCTCCATTATATATCTATTTTTATCTGTTTATCTATACATTAGATGTTATTATTGTGCTGGCACTTGTGACAAGTCCACCAGTCTAAAATACGTGTTCTCATTTCCTTTTCTGTAGCGTCTGCCACAACGCCAGCCGCAGGTACAGATGCCCCGCAGACGACTGGCGCGGCGATGCCAACAACAGCCGGAGACAGCCCAACGGGTACACCAGGAGGTGCCACCACCGCCGCATCGGGCACTGCTTCTTTCACGGCGTCTCTTCTTTTGACTGCCTTGATGGCGTGGTTCGCAGCATAGAAACATTCATATTTTAGTTAAGGGCTTGATCACCAAACTGTCAAGTTTATCCTTGTTTCCGATGCCATACATGACGTTATATTACCGAGAGAAGTATTCTAAACGGGCACCGGAAACTCAATAAGCATGACGTATGACTGTGACGTCAGTAGCACCGCTCAGTTGTGCCTCGTTCACATTATGGAGGTTTTGGTACTCATGATGATGTCTTTGACGAACGGTGAAAGCGATGCCAGCAATGCATGGAGTTCCGAGACATCAAATATAGTATTCATGAGTTGCGAGTTGCTATAACAACCAGATAATTCCTGATTGCAGATTTGTACAACTTAATGTTTTGTATTCAATTTGCTGGTGAATGAGATTAAAAATACAAATGAAAATTCTAAATAGTAATATTGTCACACATTTTTGTATACATTTGAAACAGCCATTGTAGGAGATCATTTGATGTACCCATGGTCCTTTGCGTTAGATATCCGGAAAGGCGGAGGTGGATGCTATTACTCAACACAAAAAATGAAATACAGCAGCCATATGGAATATAACTTCTATATGTCAACAACACTTCACTGTTTAGACTGGTGGCCGATACCCACATTTGCATATATTTAAAAAATATAGGCTTGTTTTGCGTGAAAATTTTTTTAATGGCTAGGAAATACGAACAAACTGTTGACCAGACTTGAACATTCTTATGGAAGCGGGCTTGATAATTCGTGGATTTGAACAAAATCAGGCATATTTTTTACAGCAGCCAAATTTTGCGAATATAATACATAAAATAATCTTATTATAAAGCAACTGATTGTTCCTTTTTAATCAGTCAAATAAGTTTTGGCGTACCACATCAGCGGCGCACCTCGCCTCGGCGGTGTGCCTCAAGATTGTTGTGAGGTACAAGTGTCACTCGGTAAATTTTATAACTGTTTGAACGTCAGATCGACAAAAGGGGTGCCGTTCGGAGGTGCTTTAATTATCTTATTCCCCATAAATGACAATATTTAAAGGGCGGTGGTCGTTGCGCAGGGCGTGTTCAAATTTCATGTATGTAAACAATGTATTCTACGCGCGTTGTGTACGTCGCTATGGATCCCATATCGACTAACACAACGCGGCACGCGGACTCAGTCCTTTATAAGTATTTTACACATATAGAGCTACAATGAATCAAGTACACACGATATAAACCAAATATAAAGGAAGGGTTTGTCTAGTTTTCTGAAATATTCCCAAAGTACCGTCAATTATGTCGTTATGTCCGTAATTTTATAATCCCATGTGACAACGTATTGACCAATCATGGCACAAAATCTAGATATGGTGCATCATATAATCAAATTGTAAACAACATCATCACAGATATTGAAAGTCCCAAAAAGGGAATCAATTCAACTACATTGGTATTGAAAATATTAAAAAAAAATTACCCATCTGACTATTCAATCTAAATGTATTAGTCTTCCATTTCAAAACCAGCTGGTTTTAAAATTCCAACAGCGGCGATGGCACAGAGGGGCATAGGGGGCGGTCGCGGTCCCCTCGAATAAAATGTTGGGGGCGTCGACCCCTAAAATCAAGCTTAACCCGTTGTGTCAAAAACTTTGACCCCCAAAATGCAGAAAATAGCTTTTCGGAGGGTCTATATTTCAAAATTGTTAAGGGGAGCATGCCCTCGGACCTCCTAGTGAGGGATAATGAGCAGACCCCATGCAACACGTGTCGCCGCCTCTTCCAATTACAAATCGTAAGCTTGCGTATCCTTTAATAAAACAGTTTGAAATGCAAACATGTTATTTCTTTGCAAACAACTTTTTTCAAATAAGTGAGAATTACATACTTGACCCTGCCCTTAACTGGTTCCCTCCTCAAGTGTCATGGCGCACCCAGCCCCCGGGACCTAGCCACAAGATGCCGGTAACTAGTAATGGATCCGGCATTCTAATGTATAGTAGATAATCGATGATAAATAGCTATTCAAAATAATGTGACGTTTTGAGCAATGACTCGATATCGATAGCATAGAAGAACATGTGTATTTACTACTTTCATATGGGGTGTTTTCTTCCTTATATTATCCTTAAGTTGACATTCAAAATACAGCCCATCAATTCGCTCTCAATGTTCGAGGTATCATAATACCTTGGCTAGGGTGTTTGATTCTGCATAAATTATGATAATGAGACAAACAACAAAATAATGAAAGTTCAAAAAATGTCAAGCTAAAGCCAACGTAATGCAAAGACAATATAAAAATGTTAACTTAAGGACAATATAAAGAAGAAAACACTCAAATAAAGCAAATAACATAATTTTGGCACCGATCTCATCCCGTACTTTCACAACATTCTGATTGCTCCATCTCGTTCCCATTCTTTATTCTTTGACTATTTCTCTTGGTCACCCTGACATCGGCGCAGGGGTTTCCTTTCTCTATCAAAAGTTACGCGAATATAAAACTCTTTATTTTGATATCAATTTGTATGCAAATAGCGAGAAATGCCATAATGTGCTTTGTGTGATTACAGTATAAACTTGTTTACGGAGAACGAATTTTTTTAAGATCCCGCCATGCCTAGTGGTACAACATGGCGATTACTAATCGCCCTGCCTGCGTCCTACTTGCCATTCGCAAGGGTCGATACAAATTCTAATTCTGGTGTGAAACATATAAAAATAGACTGCTTGCATAAGAGCTATTTCCTGTGCCCTTGGCGATATACTCATTCGCTGTTTCTTTTTTTGCGTGTGTGGTTTGGTGCGCTATGACACTTGGGGCGGAAACTTACCAAACGGTTACTGGAGGTTCGTCGTTGAGGGCGCAGATGTTGTCACCGAATGCAGTTTGATTCCAGTCCCTCGCTGTGATTGGTGGATACTCGTTTACAGTTAACATGTTCAGTGTTTTCTTGGATGTGTACAGTTTAGGATAACGACAACAAGATAGACAGAATTTTATTTTGAAAAGATAAAAAAGAACAATTGTATTGTTCTCAACGCTTATTTTTAGTTAAACTAGGTTTGCATCACAACGATATTACATATATTTTAAAATTGCAGGTAACATGTATTTGTACATGTATGTATTTTTAAAAAAAAATGTCAGGTTAAGTTGTTTGCATATTAACTAAAACATTGTAGTAGAAAACTAGTAGTGATGCCGGCCTTCAAACATCTTCCTTATAAAAACGTAAATGGTCCGGAGGCAACTCTGTATAAAGTGAGAAAGTCGATTAGGATACATATTTTGGCTAGGCTTCTCAGTAGCAGAAACGAAACGACCGAGGCCGCAAGTTTAATAGGGGTTATGTTATTCAACGTGCTGAACACTATGCTCTTTTATCGCGTCCGATAGATCAATTGGTTCATATCCCCCACGTGACCGTTGTTTGCGGATATAATTTCTTGACACTAATTCCGCGGAAAGGGTAACTATTTTACATTTAAAAAACGCGCTTAAAATTTAAGCCCAATGGAATATTATAGCCGAGCGTAATGAGCGAGACTGAAATGTCGTTCAAAATATATTTGGTTCCGAAGACATCCATTACTTCGTTTAAGAATATCATCACTTGAGGGCGCATGATACGACGAAACAATGAATTGTGGTAGGTTTCCCTACTGTGGAAGTTAAACTATAAAATATACGTCCGTGGCCACTGCCACTAGCCAGTAAATCCAGGTCCATGTGAGTTGGTGATTCATATTCGCAGTCATACAAAGAGACAATGATCACGTTTCATCAATCAATGTGAAAAGCCAAAGACTATCAGTATGGTTGTGGGGGACTACAACTGTTAAATTTAAAGGGCGTTGCTCGTCGCGTAGCTCATGTGCAAACACAACATTTACGATTGCTAGTGTGCTTGAATCTGTTCCACTTTGGAACGTATCAGAACAGGTTTGTTTAATGTTTCCTAATTGATTTTACAAACTAGATTGAATTATATGTACAGAAAATGTTTGTTTTTTTTTTGTTTTTTTCTAAATTGTTTTGGTGGATTTAGTGAAATATAAATCGTCGAGGATGAAGAAAGAAAGGACAATTTCGCAAATTTCGTATCATGTTCAAAAATGTGATGAAGATACCCCTCCGAAAAAAAAACAAAAACAGTTCTGCACGTCTCTTCCAGTTTTCTGTCAACCACGTATCAGGAGAGTTTGCGAATCGGTATATTCAATCATAAACTGTTTAGCGCCCTCTACACCAACGGTTTTCTTTAATAACGATTAGACACTAGAGGGCGCATAGACTTAACTGCCAAAATTACAGTACGCAGCAACAAATTGAATAAGATCAACACAATGCTTACACATTCATACAAGTTAAATACGTACATAACAATGGCAAACTAAATAAAATACAGCAACAAGTAATACAAAGTGGATATGTTTATTTCACTGGTGACTTGTCTTTCACAGTATTACAAGGTACAATAAATTAAATACATTAAATAGCATTAGAAGTTACAGTACGTCAACGTATCCCGTAGAGCGCCCTCTGTTGACAAGACTAATTTAACCAATACAATCCAAGGCAACTGTGAAGTTCATCATTTGAAAGATAGCTTTTATAAGTTACCAGCAAATAAATTGTATTTTAGAACAAAGTTTTTCCTCGAATATACCCTTTTTATCAGGGTCTGTAAGGAGGAACAGTATACCACGTTGATTTCACAAATCAAATTCAGTCCGGAAAAATTGAAAAATACTGCAGCAGTAATATTCCATTGTAATTCTTTAAAACGATGATTTTCATAGAAGTTGTCCTCACAAACGCTGTTAAATTGTGAATTAGCAAACGTTTTGAGAGGCAAATTTATGATGGTTAAAAATATTACATTGTTTTTAAGAATCTGATGGTTTTTATTACTTTTGAAGCTTGTAAGAAGTATAGAAATATATACATTTGTTCACAAAATTTGTGTGAATTTGCCTTCGCGAAATTAAAGCAGTCAACAGTATTGTTACAGCATTTTATGACTTTGATACAAGAGGGTGATATACCAGGAGAGTTAAAAACAGAGTAATCTTGAATGAACGCTAGGAAACAGACACTGAGGTTAAATAAATGCAATAATCAGATTTCCCAAAACATCAAGTCCAAGACTGTTTAGAGAGTTATGCAGAAGAGCTCATTCACTGAAACAGAGGAACGCTTTGCATGTTCCGTTTCTGGTCAAAACTATTCTGAAATTCACCTGGTGACCAGGCTTGTTAAATTAATTTCCTGCCATTATAAGTATTAAACAAACAACTGGAATACCTTTAATTTTTAATAATAAAGAAAAAACAATAAAAATACTTTAACCCACGGACGACGACAACAAGCTAGAAACAAATTATTGACCATGTTTCACATATGCCTAGACACGAAATAGAATGAAATCAACATGGGAACACCAACTGTAAAACTGAGTAGCCAATATCAGTGAAATGTGCATAGACAGTGTAAAACATGCAACATACAACCAACTACAGCACCGCTACAAATTATCCAAGATTTACTGATATCGTTCATTAGGCTTTTAACAAATACCTTAGAAAATTTGATATGAACTATTATTCTGTACCCTGTTTCATAACAGTAAAAAGTTGGCTCTGAAAATTTGCAAATGTTTTTGTTTTCACTGGAATATGAGAAGCCAATCATATTATAGCCAACTATTTCCTTCGCTCTCATTCAAACCCTTTCAAAATCTTAAAGAAGACAAGCCTAATATTTTTGATTTTCTGAAGACAGATGGAAGTTTGAGCGTTCCATACACATACAATGTAGCAACAATGATCAGTCTATCATTTCAGTAATGCAAATACAACATATGAGTGGGAATATAATAGGACATGAGGTTGCATAGCTCTCTTTCAATTACATGACAGTGGTCACCATAACTGTGTACACTCAGTGTTGGTCCCATATAACTAATATCAATGTGGGCCGAATGTGTTCTCATTTACACCACCAACTTTAAACACATCGCTCACTAGAGGTCTTCAGAAATTGCAAAAATTAATTACATCAGCAGGCAATGTGGTAATATGAATGAAGATGTCTGCGACGAAAAGCCTGGTCTGTTTAGCAGAATTGACAACCTTTTTAATAAAAATGCATTTATGAGAATCAGGTGTTGATAGGAACAATTAATTCTTCGTTGAGAAAGTCCAGAAAACTACCAATTGGTGGCAACGAAGACGCTCTATGTAGATCACTTATTGGGTTATTACTGACAATATCTACTTCCACAGCGGGGTTAGTATTAAGCGGCAACTGTGAGGAAGTATCTTCAGCTAATTGGCAGTACTTTGTCTGTGAATTATGAAAATGCTTCAAGTTGTTGTAGCGGCAACTCTGGTTTCTGTCACCATTCAGTAAAGTAACAGGCGTCTTTCTTACGCCGTTATACTTATTCTGAATGTATTGATGACTAGAGCAGTTCGTGTATGCACTGTTTAACTGCGAGGGAGTTACTGTTTTCCGGGAGGAGTTGGGATAATTGTCAACATGATGTAGCTGATTGGAGCGCAGACCCTGAACAGTACACTGTGGCTTTGGAGAGGGCATCTGTACGCACATTCCTGTTGTCATGGTGACTGGGGATGGAGGAGGTGACAGTGGTGTAACTGGATACAGGTTTTGTGAAATGACCACGGAACTTTGCACGTTATATGATGAATCTGGCGAAGTCTGAGGCGTGAGAGAAAACTGGTCTAAATGTCTGTATTTTTCAAAATCTGTGAATAGCGGTTCACTTTTGATCTCAGGCTGGCTTTGTACTGACCACTGTACATAGCTATTGTTGTTGTTATTATAATATTCCATTGGCAAGTGTGAGAGCCGCTGGTGTGCACCATACTGCGGGGGCAATGTCTCCTTCGTCTGCATGTATGCATACTGCTGTATTTGTTCATAAGAATACCCATAGTACTGACACTGTTGCAGTCCTGGCTGCTGCTGCTGCTGCTGTTGCAGCATCTGATGCTGTTGTAGTGTGACGGTGTTAAGGCCTTTAGTTCGCACCGTTGTTGAGCGTTCTCGCGGCTGATACCGGTGATACACATAAGTTGAGGGAAACACTGGAGAGTGCCTGTCAGCCGATTGGTGGTAACTTGACGGACAAACACCTCCTGAGTTTTGAAGTGAGAGTGGACCATCATCTGCCCACTGCCCTTGTAGTGTTTCGTAATTTGAGCTACACGAAAGATAGTCTGTTTCTTCAACGTTATCAGGCCGACATTTACTTTTGACGAGCTCCTCAATGGCGTATCTACTTCTCATCAAAGCCTCCTGTTTTAGATACGAGCTGTCTTTTCCCTAATTCAGAAGAAATTAATGAAAGTTAGCTTTAACTGTTCATGAAGGCAATTACGTTGAACGAAAATAACCCTTGCCCCCCCCCCCTTACAAACTGTAAAACTTTTAATTTTCTAAAACATTGTAAACAAAAAAATCAAATATTCTTATCCAGGTTGTCCTTGCAAATATGATTCTATATTGTACAGGAAATTATTTTCATAATATTGTGTAGCATTCAATCTGATTAAAATCTGATGTAGTGTACGGGCTTTAATTATTTTGGCTATAAACTTATTTTAATTTTATTTTTTATTACTTTTTTATTAATGCCTTTTTATTTTATTATTATTTTCCTTTGATTTTGTGTTTTTTTTTAATTCCGCCCTACATACATCTGACCCGATGCCTATGTAACGAGATTTCAACGAGACCCACTATCGACGATTTTAGTCAACGAATCACAGACCTCCTTCTATAGCGCACATGATGACGTCACTGGGCAGAGTCAGGTGGCAAACACACTCAAATAAAATGGCGGATTATACCGACGTTTAATAGCGACCGAGAATAACATGGCTTTTCGGTAAAGTTTATCATTGTCAAATGCAACGAAAGTCATTTTTATGTTAATATTGTGGCTCGAATGTTTCGAGTTTAGATCGTTATTTTGCGTAGTTATTCTGGGAGTGACGATTTTGTTTCCACCGGTTCACCGAACACCGGTGTCTTTTTCCAGTCGCTTGCCCTGGAGACGGGTGATGTTTTGTTGACGATCGGGCCAAAATCGTCTACGGTATTGAAGCCGTAGCTGTAAATATTCATCAAAATGAATCAACATTATGTACATTATACAATAACTTTTTATTAAAGTAATTGAGCTGATTTGGACTGGAATAAAATATTTTTTATTTGGAACACATCGCAATTGATCAGGAAATATTTTTTCGCTCCAATTTTCTGCGTCGGTGCCATGGGCCGGTGTTATGCAATTTAAAATCAGTTTGCATTGTTTACTTTAGCTGTTTACAGTGTTCTAATCATTACGATTTACTTATTTTTTTTTGCTTCCATTCTAGATAATTATGCTCAGTGATGTAAAATTGAAGCGATGACTGAATGAACGAACCTTGGCTGGAAAAAGATGTATTAGGAAGTGTACACATTTGTTGGAAGTGAAACAAATATTCAATGTAATGACAAAAATTGTAACATGATGTGAAATTTCTTTTGTAAATAAAAATATACTATCAATTTTCTATTACCGGGTAATGGTTTATTCAAGTGGGCAAAATATAATGTACAGAAAGATTGCCCGTAGAGTATCGCTACAATGAAAAGTAAGCAACCGACAGCCTGTATAAAAGGGGGGCTGTGATTGGCTGTTATTTATGCGAGATTTGAACGGGACTTGCACAGGCGTCGGATCAGATGTAGGTAGGGCGGAATTAAAAAAAATCTCAAAATCAAAGTAAAATAATAAAATAAAAAGGCATTAATAACAAAAGTAATAAAAAATTAAAATAAGTTTATAGCCAAAATAATTAAAGCCCGTACACTACATCAGATTTTAATCAGATTGTGTAGCATTGTGCATGTTATAAAATTGATTATATTGTTTTTAGTAGTACATATATATTACAGTGGAATTGTATAATTTTTATTGAATTATAGACATGTGAAATGGCTTTAGAAGACACTGCAATCTTCCTTGTGGCAACTGGCTGACAACTCCATTTAATGTGTTAAAAGTGCAATAAATTTTCTGTTTACTGCAAGATCTCAAATAATGCATGGAAAACGTGAATCAAATGTCTGCCACAAAAATTGAATGATTTTATTTTTAACTTGAATTTCTATTTTCTATATTTTAATATCAAAATGCTATCAGAGAGGAATATGACATTAACATACCCTTACTCAATCAACATTGACCATCATCAAATATGCATAGAATATTATTAAGCACAGAAATACCCCAAAATAGTTTCGCGATTGTCGAATCCCATGCAAAGAAGCTATGACCTTTGTTTGTCCTGTTTTTATGTTTGATTTCCTGAATAACACGGGATATTGCAGCGAACGGAAAATGATATATTACGGTCATCAACATTGTATATATGGGTGTGTGGATCATAGTATGTTTTCATTGAACAATACAAGTTAGTTATCACAGCTCAAAAGGAGTTCTGTCAAATTTGCTGTCAAATCACCAAATGTATACATCACTGTACAATGAAAAATTTTCAAACAAATATGCCATCATATCAAGTCAATTTACATAAGATCTAGTTAATTCAAGTGATCACAGCATGATACATGTATGTATGCATGCAAAGAGCTTAAAATTACAACCTAACACTTTAAAAATGTATCAGCTACTTAATACATCTAATGAATCAGAGCTGATAAATCTTTCTAGATTCTGTAAAGATATAATGTAGCGGTTTTTAATTCAGCCAGGCCAATTCTGACCACTGATTTAGTACCACGTATTTTTATTTATTTACTTGCTTTTTGCAATTTTGGGCTGGTGCCTTATTATGCATTTAATTTATTAATTTATTTCGTGTGACGCTTTCATGTACATGCTTTAATCGTTGTATTATGTATATATTATTTAGTTTTCTCATACCTCTATCAGAGAAGCAAAGGAAATAAATTATTATTATTATTATTACAATAGTGCCTTACCTTACAGGGCAATGAGTCATCATGATAGAAAACTTTCTTGAATTTTTGTAGACAACTTTTCCTCTTGTATGAAGCCATACCCAGCTACCGTCAGATTTCATCATACGGAAATACATTGTGTTGATTTCAGATGTGTCTATCACTGCAAAAAACAAGATGAATAGTAAAATAAAATGAATTA